GGATGGACAAAATATGGCCAGTGGGCTGGATCTGGCCTGCCATGGCATTTTGTCTGGCCTGCAACAGATCCCTCAACTCTGCCTGGCCCAAGCATAGGGAGCACCTTGGGCCATGGTGTGTGCAGCCGGTCCTATCACCCCAGGGCACACAGCAGGGCTGGTGCAGTTCAATGGGTGGACTGTTTCCTGGCAGCCCCAGCAGTGGTTCCTTCTGGCCGCCGCTGCCAGACCCAGCCCCACTAACTAGGCACCCTTGCCCAACTGCCCCACATCCATCACCAGGAGCGCCAAACTAAGTGGGCAGGTGAGGTCTCCATCAAGACCAGCTGGGACCCACATGGACAGGGCATGTGGCCAGGTGGATGGGATGGGGCTCCAGGCATGGAGTGGCATCCAGGAGCAGGTTGGGCAGTGCTGGGCATTGGGATTGCGGGGCAGTGACAATGTGGGGCCGGATCCCAGGGCAGAGCTGCGATCTTCTGCCTGCATGCCCCTGCAATGGGTGCCAGTTCTGTGGGCAGAGGCATGCAGGGTACAGATCACAGCTCTCTCAGGCCCCAATCCTGTGCTGTCACCACCTCACAATCCCTGCCTTAGCCCTGTCCACCCATCCTACTCCCGGACACAGCTCCCACTGGCCCTATCCCAGCCACACATTCCTCCTGGACTGGCCTCCATAGAGGCCATGGGATTGTCGGGACCCAGGGCAGCCGGCCAGCAGCTCTCCCTGACTCCCACCCGGGCAGTTAAGGGTCCGTCAGGCGGGTACTTGTGACGCATGGAGTGGAATTAATTAGGTGGACGCATATCGGTTGCAAAGCAAGATTATTTACTCACGCCGTCAAGGTGGTGAAAGACGGAGGTCAGATATACTTAGTTAGTTACATCTTAGAGTCATTCGGTCGGTCTGCAGAGATATATACGGGCCGGCGGTCTTATCGGGCATGCGGGTCAAGGGTATGCCAGGGAGGTCGCGGCGGGAAGACACTGACAACTGATCAAATTGTCAGATTTACTCCAAGGTGCGGACAGAGTTGTCTTCGACTTTGGCGGAAATGCAGCAGGGTTTTGTTTGTATGATAGCCAATTGTTTTTCGCCACATCATAAATTTAATTAGAATCGCCAATTGTATAGTGGTCTTCGCTAGGGTGTTATCATAGGGTTACTCTTTGTTTTCTTTGACCAATTATAATGATTTATGTACAGCACAGAAGGCTAAGTTCTATTTCATGTTGGTGTCGCAGTTATAAATTTCTTTTTGACATGCGCAGCAAAAAAACTGTTACTATCTTCTTGTTAGTTAACTCTTAGTTAACCTAGTGCAGACTAAAACTGTTTTGAATGGTTTTACTCGTTTGTGACATGGGCACTACTTAATTTGGTTTGTGACAGGGATCACAAGGCAGTGACAGCACAAGGCTGAGCCCCGGGGGGCAGACCTGCAATCTGCTCCCCATGCCCCCCTGCCCACAGAACAGGTGCCCATTGCAGGGGCGTTTAGGGAGTAGATCATGGCTCTGCCACAGGCCCTGTCCCTGCGCTTTCATCACCCTGCAATCCCAATCCTAGCCCTGGCCCTGGCCCCGCCCACCTGTCCCACTCCTGGATGCTGCTCCCCACCCGCCTGCGGCCCAGTCCCAGCCACCCGGCCAAGTGTGGGGGCCACTTCGGGAGTTTTTGTTAGTTAGTGGGGGAGGGTGCTGACCTGACCCGCGACAGCTCACTAAAACTCCTTAAGTGGCCATCTGGCTAAGATGATTGCCCATTGCTAAGTTAGAGGATGCGAGCATCTCCAGGCTGCCTGTACTTTATGGCACAAGAGCAGACATCTACCACTAAATAGCAGCACAATTGAGACCACCTTTGTAGAGCACCCTTGAATGCAGCTACTATTTGTGGTGTGCCAAGGGGCATGAATGTCTGTGTGCTTAGTCTTTTTGTCGCCATAAACATTGTATGGTGCCACAAAAGTGACGAAAGGAGATATCTGTTCCACCCCTGACAGGATTGTGGACAAGCAGCAGAGAGTGAATAAAAATACATGAAGTGTAGTTTGAATTTGTAGAAGGTAAGAGAACCACAGATGCAGTATTAGTGATGAGATAGATGCAGGGAAAAGTTCCAAGAGAGGAATAAGGATCTATATTTTGCATTTTTGGACATGGACAAGGCATTTGATAGTATTCCCATTAGTCAGTACATTGGTGTTGGAGAAAGGCAGGAGTGTCAGAAAAGATTCTGCAAGTGGTAGAAACAATCTATAGAGAGGTCAGAACTGCAGATAGAATGACAGAAGTCTTTGGCCCAGCACCCAGGTTCTGTGCTAAGCCCATGGCTGAAAAGTCTTAAAACTTTTAGAGAAAGGCAGTCTAAAAAAGAATCAGAAGAACAGATGTAGTGATGGGTAGCAGATGTGGTTTGGAAGACAAAGTAGTGAAGGATAGAAAAGGGGATTTCATGAAAGTCAGGAACATTCATTCATGTGCTTGGAATCTCAAATGACAAAGGCAACTGTGCAGCAGAAGTAAGAAAGAGGGTTGAAATGGGATGGAAAAAACTGAAAGGAGTTGTCAAGTCCATATTTACCGGAATCCAAGATGACTTTGAATTTAGAACCACCTCCCCAAAATTAATTCTATACATGGACAATTATAAAAGCGTGCTTTCCCCCCTGATATCTGCTCCCTCCCACTGCCTGCCTCTCACCAGCCACTTGCATCCCATGGTAGTTCCCTCTTGTCTTTGCTACTGCCGCATGCTGCACTTGCACTGATTTCCTTGCTACTCTCTGGCTATGCTCTGGGTCCTGTTGCACTGGCTCCATGTTGATTCCCTCACTGCTCCCTGGCTCAACAGGGAGGCAAAGGGCAGTGCAGGACCCAGCAGGGAGCCAGAGAGCAGTGAAGGAATCAGCACTGGATCCTACAATTCCCTCTGACTTCACACTGAGCCCCTCCTTTTCTCTGGTTCTCTGCTGGGTCCTGTGCTGCTCCTTTGCTCCCTGCTGAGCCAGGCCACTGAGCTCTAGGGAGCAGTGAAGGAATCAGGATGGGGCCAGAGAGCAGTGTTGGACCCAGTGCTGTCTGGAGGTGGTGCATTTTTACTAATTACTTCATTCTAAGACATTGAATGGGGGTTAAAAAACACCTCATCTTAGAATTGAGTAAATATGGTACTGGATAAGATAAAAGGATGCCAGACTTGTGACCTGACAGTGTTGTTAGGGCTGTTGACAAGACCATAATTCTGAACCTTCCTAAAAGGGAGGGGGGATTTGCTGCTTGGGTGTTTAGCAGCTGCTTTAATTCTAACTGCTGCATCTATCCATTCCTGTGCCAGCATAAGTAGAGCTAAACTAAATAAAATAGGTTCAAAGTTAGTGGTTTAGTTCCACATATGGGAGTGAAGAGATTATGCTGAAATACTTTATACTGGTATAATTTAGTACTGTCAAAATGGTTACATCTCTCAACACACTATAGAAAGGAAACCTGGTCAGTGAGAAGGAAAGAGGAAAAGGAAGTCAAGAGACTAAAATGAGGATGCTAAAGTGAATGTTGGATATTTCACTGAGAGGGGGACACGGAAATAACAATATGAGGAAATAGTTGGGTGTAAAGACTATTGCTGAGAAATCCAGAGAGGCCAGGCTGAGAGCGCTCAGGGGAGTTCTGCATAGGAAATATAGTGGGAAGTGTAAAGAAGATGAAAATTGAAGAGAAGAGGAAGAGAGGATGGCCAAGGTTGAAATGGAAGGATCTAGTCAGGAAATACATGAACAAACATGGAGTTAAGAACAGAAAATACCACTGAATGGGACAAGAGGAGAAGGAACATCCAAGCTACTGACCCCATAACTGAGTAGGACTGAAGGCCAAAACCAGAGAAGCTACAGTAACAACTGATTTTGACAAAGAAAAATCCATGCAAAGTACCTGCAGTATAAAGACTGTTGCATCCCTATAACTAGGATTAACCCAGCAGACCTGAATGTGACTGAATACCACATTTTCTTTGTTCATGATGTTTTCTGTGATACTGAACTGTGTCCTTGAATTTTAAGTGTAAGTAATAAATAACAAGGAAGGAGAAGACAGAGAGGAGGAGAGAAGACAGAAAAAAAGAGAATGGATACATCTTTGTGGGGTGAGGCAGATATACCATGGAAAACAATATTAATGGGTGGTGATATAATCTCCGGTAAGAGCTCTGAGAAGAAAACTAATTCAGCCAAGTAGCTGTTTTGGGAAAGTGACCTCTTTTTTTAATTCAATTTCCAAATAAAACTCTATTTGACGTCAGTGCTGCAGGAACAAAATTTTGAAATGATGCAGGAGACTTTCTCAGCAACAAGGGCTTTATTTGGCATTGTGCTGAGCATTCAGGGGTTTGATCCTGCATCCATTGTATTTGATAATAAATCTCCCTTTAATTTCAGTAGTTCAGGATCAGAATGGGCACTAAAGGTAGAGGGATGTCTGCAGAAAATGTAGATGAAAACCAAAACATTTGTTTTCATCCAATTTTTCAGTCCCAGACTGATGAAACCTGTTTGTTTTGTTCCTGTTGAAAGCCCAGTTTTCCATTAAAAAGAAAGTCTTCAATGGAAAATTTTCAACAAACTCTGTCAGGTGCTTGCTAAGATACTTAATGCCCTTACCTCCGGAATAATTGAGAGCAATTGTAGGACCGTTCAGAATGATGTTTTAAAATTTAAAATCAAACCGATTTTTTATATCATAGAATAGGGCTTAATAAAAACCATGGCATGAGCTTCAAAGGATTCCATGTTTAAGAAGGAATGCATGTTTTAGTGGCATCTTTTACTCTACAATATAATACTTACCCCATTTTCCCAATAATCAATCAAACCTCATGACCTGTTTCAGCTTCTGTTTGTCCCCCCCCACCCCAGTGAATCTTCCATGTTTCTGCGATACCATTTATTTAAAGACAGATTGACAAAACTGATTGAAATGATCTTTCTGTCTGATTTTAGGATTACAATTTAATTTTTTATGAATGCAGTGCCTATTCTGGTCACAATACCAAAGAGTCTGTGCTTCACTTGGCAAGGTAAGAAAGGGATTTTTATTTAGGGTGAAGTTGCACATTATGCTTAGACCATACTAAGGACACTTAAAACATAAGTGTGCATTCATTAAAGCTAGTTAACTCATGCTAAGTGCCCACTGAGTGTCTCAGTTGCACCACTTCAGGTGAGGGTTAACTCTGGGTTGTGCTACCTAGCATGTGTTCAGGTAACTTCAGTCTGCTCTGTAGAGATAAAACAAATAGTCCTCCAGCATCCCAGGCTGCATTGCTCCCAGCCCCCACTCCCCAATCCAGAGCAGGGATAGAGTCCAGGTGTCCTGGCTCCTAGCTACACCCCTGCTCACCAGTCCTCTAGTGGCAAGTCAAAGCTGTGCAGCAATAAATGGTATTGTCCCCTAAAGTGTGGCTGCTCACAGTACATTCCTACATAAATACCATTTAACATTCCACAGCTATAGTATGGTCTACATGTAACATGTGACTTCACCTTATTTATTTATTTATATATTTTACCTCTCTTCCTCCCTCCCCCCCAATGATAAGTGAATGTTCTATGAATAAAATCAAGCTAGGCATAAGAATGCAAAATAAGCAGAAAACTCAATGTGCAATTTATAGAAATAGTACTTCCATAAGTAAGAAGTGCTTACTCTTGTCCTGTTGATGATTGAATGAATTCTGATTTCTAAAATTACTTGCCCCTCATAGGAACCAGCCTCCTCTATGTTCTGGTGGCTTTTCTTGCACCCTAGACAACAGTAAATAGAACTCACCACTTAGATTCCCAGAAACATTCACAAGTTGCTGTTGATCAGCTCTGTCAAGCAAGTGAACCAAGTACTATTTTCAGTTTTGTACCATTAATTCATTAATTTCACAAAATTCAGTCACTTCCAGTGATTCTCTCAGATACCAGTGGAGATTAGTCAGGTTGTGATGTCCCTGGGTGGGTGGGTGGGTGTTTAATCTTCTAGATATTATTGACTTTTTCTAAGCAGCTTCTTTTTATATTTCTCTCCTAGGCTGTTAAAGGAGCAAGAAGATAAAGTGAAAGAAAAAACAGTTAAACTGCAGCATGACTCAAATAAAAAGTCTTGTTGCGGTAGGCAGTAAAAGGCTGGATCCAGTTAGACAAAAATCACATATCTGTATCACACTACAGTACATCATCAGATCTGTCTTGTGCTCCAAATATGGCTCATGCTGTGTTGTAAAGGTAGCAGCAGAAGAACTTAAAGAATGTAGTACACTCCTGCCTTCACTCTTTTGCAAAAAGATGTGAGGGTCTTAGTTAGGATTACATAGACAAAAGTATGTAAGGCAGTGACACTCGCTGTCCTGTGTTTGCACAACCTTTAGCACCATGGATACCTCATCCATGTTTGGCCTACCAGATGTTACTGCAATACAAATAATAAATAGGAGTAATAATAAAATATCCACTTAGAATAAAAAGTGAATTCTCACAGGGCTGATCCTGTAGACTAGTGGTTCTGAACCTTTTTAAGACTTGAAGCATCCCTCAATAGACTTGAGTTACCCTTTGGAAAATGCTACCTCTTAGTTTTTACTCTCTTTTTTTTTTTGACCACAGAAAAATAATAGAGCAGGTCTTCTGTTGCAAAGAACTCAGAAAGCCCACAGCAGGTCAGAATGGTTTTTAACACTATAGATTCTTGTCTGAAATGTCTGGGTTTATTTGGTGACTCATGTTTGCACGCCTAACAGTGCTAACATTGCATAGCACCCCACAGCACCTTTGAAGGGATCTTAAGGCACCCTAGAGTGCCCTGGCACCATGGTTGAGAATCACTGCTGTAGACTTTGACTTGAATAGGTGAATTATTTTCAGTCCAAGATACTTATACGTCCTTATCTTTTGATGAGAATGAGATCTATAATCATGTATCTTGAAATCTTGGCTTCATATTGACCTTTCTTATTTAATTTTTAAAAGCCTAACACATATTTAACTATAAAACTCTGTGTTAAGGTTTTAAGTGTAAATATACGAGAGTTGAAGCATGGAAAAGTCAGGATGCTCATCATAATGTTCACTAATTCACACACTACACCTCTACAGTATGTTGATTTCTAGTTGTACTGCATTTAGGACCTTGTTGTGGGACCCTAACTTGCAGTGGAAAGTGATTTATCTGGGGTTTCAGAAGCAAGTAACCTCATCTATGCTAGGATGGGGTTATCCAGTAGCCTATACAGTTACCCATGTTTCTAGATGTTACTAGCAGGTGGCTGTTTTATTACTGGAACTTCGCTACAGCAGCTGTGCTGCCAGGAGGCCTCAGCTATTAAACAGACTGGAATGGTCAGAAGAAAGCACACATACATCAACATCCGCTGTCAGGTGTGGGGCAGTGGTAGGTACCTTCTGTTGTTTGCCAAGCCAGTTTTATTCTGTTGGCATAAAGAAGGGGTCCTGCCACCACTGGGGAGCTGTTTGTTCTGATACGCTCAGAGTTGTGCAAGCAGAGTTATATAATGCAGACTAGGTCTGATGCAGCTGCTCTGCCTCACACAAACTCCATCACAAAAGGCTTAGCATGGATATTCTAAAATTTTCAGAAACACGTGCCTAAAATGAGACTACTTGGTCTCTAATTTGGGACAGGAACTTTTCTTCCCCAAAAGTATCTGACACGCAGCATCAGGAGCACAAATCTTACTGCAGTTTGATTGGACCTTTGCTCCATTCCTTCAGTGCCTTTAAAGTTGCCCTGCTCATGCACCTGAAACGGATGTCCTCATTTTCGAAAGTGTTGAGCCATCCAGAAGTTGGCTTTGACCTCATCTAGAATATAGTACTTGAAAAGCCAGCCTTTTGGGGAGGTATCTGTTCTTTTAAAACCTTGACTAGAGCAACACATGAAATGGAATGTCATCGTGTCTTTTGGATGGTCTGGTTGGATATGAGCGAGAAGAGCAAATTCAGAGCTGGTCAACCAGCAAGTGCTCGAGTCATCCTGGTTGGCACTCTTCCTTCTCACGCATAATGGTACTTTCAAGAACGGTCTGTAAAGTACAGATGAGCATTGGAGATAAACAGCATATTTCTGTGCCTATTTTATTAAACTTTCCGTAGCGAAGCCAAAGACGGTTTCCTACAAAAGAAAAAGATGATTTATACAGTATATTTGCAATCCATTTTCTAAATGTTTCACAGTTTTTTCATTTAAATAATGAATTGATTTGAAACAAATGTAATTAAAAATAAGAGACTGTGTTTATAAAAGACCCACAGGCTAAACACTAGTTATATATGTAGCTATTTTAACTTATTTTTTAATAAAACCTTTGCAGTAATCAGAGTGCTCTTGGAACTTTTGTCCATGCAAATTGCCTGATGCTAAGATAAATCTCTGTGGGGCAGGGGTTGGCTAATTTTTTTATCACCCTTTTCCATACTCAGAACCCATCTTGATGCTCCTTCCATTTCATTGGGATCCAGCCAGGATCGCTTCTCTGGGATGTAATTACATCCCTCTCCCATTAAGCCTTTCATGATGGGCAAGGTGGTTTATGATTTCCTGGTGCCTAATTTTGAATCCTGCCAGCCCTAGTGGGTCACAACCTACAAGTTGTCTCTATGTCAAAGAACAGTACACATCTTCCCTAATCAAATTGGGATCAGAGGATGGACAAGCAGAGACTCTGTGGGTTAGGATCCAAAGGGGTCAGGGGGGAAAGGGACCTGGTGGTGGGGGTCTAGTACAGGCCTCCGCACCAGGAGGATGAGCTAGATCGAGAATTTTCCAGGCAACTCTCAGAAGCTGTGCAGTCTAGAGATACGGTATTCAAGGGGGACCTTAACTACCCAGATATATGCTGGGAGGAACAGTCAGCTAGATCTAACTACTCACGCAGGCTCTTAACCTGTATCCAGGACCTTCACCTAACACAGGAGGTAAGGAGTCCCACCAGGGGTAACGCCTTGCTCGAGTTGGTGTTGGCCACAAGGGATGACCTGGTGTGGGACCTGCAGAACCAAGGCAACCTAGGGGACAGCGATCACCAAATGATAAAATTCACTATCCAGAGAAGGGTGGGCATTATACCCAGCAGGACACAGGTGCTAAACTTTAAAAAGGCTGACTTTAATAGGCTCAGGGGACTGGTTAGCAGGGTACTAGGAACCAAGAGCCTAGATGCTCTGGGGGTCCAGGATGGGTGGTCATTCCTCAAGGAAACCATCCTTTGGACTCAAAGTGAGACAATCACATGGCAGAGGAAAGGGGGCAAAGGGGCCAGGAAGCCCCTTTGGCTAACCAGGGTCATCCAGGATACCTTAAGGGCAAAAAAAGCATAGAGGAAGTAGAAGCAGGGGATAGCTAGCAAAGAGGAATACACTTCCTTGGCCCACATCTGCAGGGGGTCAGTCAGGAAGGCCAAGGCAGCTCTAGAACTCAGGCTAGTGGCAGGGATTAAGGACAATAAAAAGTCCTTCTTTAGGTACATTGGGAGCAAAAAGAGGGTGCAGAGTAGCATAGGACCCCTACAGGATGGGCAGGGGGGCTTAGTGACGGACAGCAGGGAAAAGGCAGAGCTCTTCAATGAGTTTTTTTGCCTCTGTCTTCTTTAAGAATCTAGACAAACCCTCAACATGCATCATGGGCACCAACAGGGGAAACATCAGCCAACCAATGTTCGGGGCCAGTACAGTAAAAAGACACTTGGAGGGACTGGACATGTTTAAATCACCGGGACCAGAGGGACTCCACCCATGGGTAATGAAGGAATTGGCAAATGTCATAGCTGAACCACTGGCAAGGATATATCAGCACTCATGGTGCTCAGGTCAGGTCCTGGGGGGTTGGAAGAGCACCAATACCACCCCAATCTTTAAAAAGGGGAGGAAGGAGGATCTAGGGAACTACAGACGGGTCAGCCTTACCTCTATCCCTGGCAAAATCCTAGAAAAAATGATCAAGGAGCACATCTGTGGGAGCCCGCTGGCTAATGTGATGCAGAGGGGTAACCAACATGAATTTATAGCAGGCAGGTCCTGCCTGACTAACCTAGTTTCTTTTTATGACAAGGCCACCAAAGTTTTAGATGCAGGAGTTGAGGTGGGTGTTATCTGTCTGGACTTCAAGAAGGCCTTTGACACGGTATCCCATACCATCCTTATAAATAAACTGAGGAGGTTTGCCTTGGATGATTATACAGTAGACTGGGTAGCAAACTGGCTCAAGGGTCGCACTCAGAGAGTGGTGGTGGATGGGTCGTGTCAACCTGGAAAGATGTGTGCAGTGGGGTCCTTCAGGGCTCAGTTCTGGGGCCGGTGCTGTTCAGCATCTTCATCAGTGATCTGGATGAGAGGGTGGGAAGCACCCTGTCCAAATTCGCAGATGACAAAAATATGGGGTAACACTAACACCCTGGAGAGGAGGAACCAGATCCAGGCTGACCAGGACAGGTTGGGGAAGTGGGCAGAGAGCAACAGGATGCAATTCAATAAGGACAAGTGCAAGGTGCTGCATCTAGAGAGAAAGAACTGCCATCACACACATAAGCTATGGGGTGACCTCAGCACCACTGAGGCAGAAAGATCATGGAGTCACTGTTGTGATGAAGTAGTCGGCAGAGCCAATCGCACCTTGTCGTGCATCCATAGGTGCTTCACAAATAGGTCCAGGGAGGTGATTCTCACTCTACATGGCACCGGTCAGGCCGCAGCTGGAGTACTGTGTCCAGTTCTGGATGCTGCAATTCAAGCGGGATGCAGACAACCTGGAGAGGGTCCAAAGAAGGGCCACTCACCTGATTAAAGGCCTGCAGGGAAGGCCCTATGAGGAAAGGCTAAGGGACCTTAACCTCTTCAGCCTCTTCAAGAGAAGGCTGAGGGGGGACTTTGTGGCGGCATACAAATTCATAAGGGGAGAGCAACATAAAGTAGGCGATGATCTGTTTAAAAGGGCACCCCCTGGAACAACAAGGAACAATGGCTAGAAGCTACTGGAGAAACGGTTTAGATTGGACATTAGAAAAAAGTTCTTTACGGTCAGAGTTGCCAGAGTCTGGAACGGGCTCCCAAGGAAGGTGGTGCTCGCCCCATCCTTGGGGGTCTTTAAGAGGAGACTGGACAGGCACCTGGCTAGGTTCACATGATCCCAGGTTTGGTGATCCTTTTCTTGCCTGCCAGGGGCAGAGGGTTGGACTAGATGGCCCACTGAGGTCCCTTCTGAACCTACAGTCTATGAATCTATGGAAGTTAAGGTTGACCACTGAAGTATTGAAAGAACTGAAAGACAATGAAGAGTAGCAGCATAGTGTTCCATGTAAGGGGAAGGGGGATGTCCCTTTGCCTCCCTGTAGGGGCCTGCATCACTGTAAACCTTCCTGCTGCAATGTTGTGCTGGGCTCTGAAGAGTGTGCCTTATCCACACCTTGATTTCAGCTCTGAATCCATTCAGGATTAGGCTTCATTAGTTCAAATAGCAGTTTTGCCCATTAACTACAGGGGGAACGTATCATCCACATTGTCAGGGCCTAGTAAAGAACATTTCTGCTTTTCTTTAGGAGGGAGTTCCATACACCAGACAACACTTACAATGTGTCCCCGCCCCCCCTCAGCCAGCCTCTCTCTACTTCCACAGGAAAGATTTGGGGCCTGAATCTGAGCTGGGTGACACCCGTTATAATGGTTCATAAGTCCGGAATTGGGCCCTAGTTTCTGGCTCTCTGAGAAGCAGAGTAGGTGTGAAGGACCACAGTTAGGAGGATGGGCTGCCTGCTGTTATTCCTGCAAGAGCTTTAAAGGTGAAGATAATGACCTTGCACAAAAGCAAGGAACAAATTGGAGGGAGTAGACAACAGGTGCATTGCATCCCCTGCATTTACTCATATTCAGGAGATCAGCTTGTGGGTGTTAAGATCTACATCATTAGAAATGAATGAGATGCTGAGTCAGAGTCCTTGAATGTAGATATTCGAACACTGCAGAACATTTTGATTACAGAATTCTGCTTTTCCTTTTCCTGTCAGAAACTTACTAATAGTCCTTGAGTCTAGTTCAGCATGGGGTGTGACTTCTTTCAATTTAATGGTGTTCTTCCATGGGTGAACCTTAACCCTATGTGCCCTTTGAATGAATGAAACTGAAACCCAGTAGACAAGAAATTCTGCTCCCAGACTATTTGTTACATTGAATGTGCCTGATTTTATTTATTTATTTATCTTAAGCTTGTGCAAAGCTATTCCTGATGCACATAAGTGTATGGTGAGAAAAAAATTAACTTCAGTCATTTCCTGGCATGGCTGTGGTTAACTAATGGAAGATGGTATGATGATTGACAGGTCAAATGAGAAGTGAAGTGAGTCATTTCAACCAGTGTGAAAGCACTTGATGCTGATTGATCCTCTTCATTTAGAATACACATTACCAAGAACAGCTTCCTTGCAGTGGCAATAATTAGGTGAGGAATGTCATGTGCCCAATCCTGCATGAGGAGAAGATTATTCCATTTAGAGATGATTAACAAAGAGCCTAGCTTTTTCCTTAGCACAAGTGGGAACTTGTTTTACAAAGCAGATATATGCAAATACTGCTGATTAGCAATGCCTTCTCAACCTCATCTCAGGAAAGTGGAAAAGTGCCATTTGATTTTTTAAAAATGACAAAAATTACAATGATAAGCACAAGCAGTTTTGAGGGGGAAAAGGTAAAGGCTAGTGATTTAACCTATTTAAAGCTAAACCCTATTCATTTGGAAGAGGAGTCCTAAGTGGATCATGTTTGGTTTGATCAAATAAGAAGACTCACACCAAGAGGTGATGTCTCAAGGTCGAGGGGCAGTATTATCAGAAATGTGTGTCAGTTTATTCTAATGAGTGAAATTTAAACTTCCAAGTGAATATGGGAAAGCACAAACCGAATAACCTGGAATACTTAACATGCTGTCCCATATATACCTCTTCAAATGCCCATAAAATTAACTAATAATTAATATATATATGCCTACAAGAAGAAAAATGGCAGCTGTGTGTTTTTAAGGAGACAACTTTAATACTCATTTTTGACAAAGCTTTTATTTTTTATGCATTTTCTGCCACTAAAGACTTGAAATGTTGGCAGGGGTTGAGAGGGAGAGGGGATACATGTGGACAAACCTTCATTTATATAACAGTACCAGACTATCTCCCTTCCTGAGACTGATAAAACTTTGCATGTGAGAACAACGAAACCTCAGTGGAGAAAACCTCCACTGAGAACAATGGGCAGTATCTCCAATGTTAATGTTTACCATTTGCTTGTTCAGGGACACTACTAGTACTTGGTTATCTCAGTTAGGGAT